GGGGTATAGAGCAACCTTATGTGAAAACACCGGTTGGTATTGCACTTGGACCCCTGGGGTCAAGGTCACCGTTACTAAAAATAGAAAAATGGTTTCCAGACAATAACTACAGTTAGGAATGAGATATTGTTATCAAACTTGGTGTATAGCAAGCTTATATGAAGACCTGGGTTGGTATAGCATTTGGACCCCCTGGGGTCAAGGTCAAGGTCACCGTTACTAAAAATTGAAAAATGGTTTTCGGACAATAACTAGAGTTAGGAATGAGATATTGTTATCAAACTTGGCGTATAGAAAGCTTATATGAAGACCTTGGTTGGTATTGCATTTGGACCACCTGGGGTCAAGGTCAAGGTCACCGTTACTAAAAATAGAAAAATGGTTTCCGGACAATAACTAGAGTTAGGAATGAGATATTGATATCAAACTTGGTGTATAGCAAGCTTACATTAAGACCTGGCTTGGTATTGCATTTGGACCCCCTGGGGTCAAGGTCAAGGTCACCATTACTAAAAATAGAAAAATGGTTTCCAGACAATAACTAGAGTATGGAATGAGATATTGTTATCAAACTTGGTGTATAGCAAGCTTATATGAAGACCTGGCTTGGTATTTCATTTGGACCCCCTGGGTCAAGGTCACCGTTATTTAATGGTTTCCGGACAATAATTAAAGTTAGGAATGAGATATTGTTATCAAACTTGGTGTATAGCAAGCTTATATAATGACCTGGGTTGGTATTGCATTTGGACCCCCTGGGGTCAAGGTCACTGTTACTAAAAATAGAAAAATCTCCGGACAATAACAAGAGTTAGGAATGAGGTATTGTTATCAAACTTGGGGTATAGCAAGCTGATATGAACACCTGGGTTGGTATTGCATTTGGGCCCACTGGGGTCAAGGTCACTGACTAAAAGTAGAAAAATGGTTTTCTGACAATAACTTGAGTTAGGAATGAGATATTGTAATCAAACTTGGTGTATAGCAAGCTTATATGAAGACCTTGGTTGGTATTGCATTTGGACCCCCTAGGGTCAAGGTCACTGTTACAGTGTTACTAAAAATAGAAAAATGGTTTCCGGATAATAACTAGAGTTAGAAATGAGATATTGTATTCAAACTTTGTGAAAAGCAAGCTTATTTAGAGACCCCAGTTGGGATTACAATTAATTTAAATATTTCTTTGTACACAGTTGATAGTTTGTGTTCAAATTTTTCTTCAGACTACTTATTTTTCAAAAAGTCAAAGTTGCTGGTGGGGGTATTAATCACCTTCAGTGATAGGTCTAGTTAGTATAGATCTACATTAAATAGAGTAATAATCTCAACAAAATATTTCCAGAATTGTCATGTCAAAAAACCTGAGTGGAGTCCCTTTAAGTAAAAAATGAGAATTTTGTCAGAGTGTAGTAGCAGATAATTTTATCAGGATAAGTATAATAGTAGAGAATTTTCTCAGTGTTTTAGCAGAGAATTTTCTCATGGATAAGTATAAGAGTAGAGAACTTTGTCTGAGTGTATTAGCAGATAATTTTCTCAGGATAAGTATAGCACTAGAGAATTTTCTCAGTGTTTTAGCAGAGAATTTTCTCAAGATAAGTATAAGAGTAGAGAACTTTCTCTGAGTGTTTTAACAGAGAATTTTCTCTGGATAATTGTAGCAGTAGAGAATTTTCTCAGAGTGTTTTAGCAGAGAATTTTCTCAAGATAAGTATAAGAGTAGAGAACTTTCTCAGAGAATTTTCTCAGGATAATTGTAGCAGTAGAGAATTTTCCCAGAGTGTTTTAGCAGAGAATTTTCTCAGGATAATTGTAGCAGTAGAGAGTTTTCTCAGAGTATATTAATAGAGATTTGTCTACTTAAGTTTTATGACAGTTTTGTCTGAGGTATTAAGTGATGATAGTTTTATCTGAGACATTAATATACTTGTATAATGTTTTATATGAGACATTAATATACTTGTATAATGTTGTGTTGATATATATTTATAGGGAGACACAAAATCAGAAGCTGATATAGAGAGAATTAAGTCAACATTGATGTTATGTTATGGTTATGTTGCCCTGTATTCTCCACCTAGTCTCATCATATCTCGGATGGAGGCAACTATACTTAGATCTCTAACACCACACTTTGCTAATGTGAAGGTATATTAATCATGTTTTATTCTAAAGTATATATATATAGTATATATGAATTTGCTAAGTGTAAATGTTTTGTTAAATGGTTTACCTATTTCAGGTACATTTTATTCTAAAAAACTGCTTTGTGCACCTGCCCATGAACTGATTAATCACATGAAAAAGATTAAAACAGGAAGTAACAGAAGTTGTTGAATAAATGATGATATTTTTTTTGTAGGACACAAGTGTGAAGCAGAATTTGATTCGAGCAGTAGATCAGATAGGTCAAGCTTTACATCCCAGTCATCTAGGACAAACATATAATTTCTCCAACAGGGGAGAGTTTCTGACACACCTTCAAACATACATGCAATTAGAGAGTACTCTCAACATTGGTAATGAAACAAGAGCTCTCGCCATGAAATCTTGTACAACACTTGTGTATCCTTAAATATTATCTGATAAAATATCTATAGTAGGTTCTTATTCAATATCTAAAACATTAATTGTGTTGCTGAAGAAGTTATTAAGATTTTATAGAAAGAATGTTTGATTGATATGTTATACAAAATGTACATTTTGTTTATAGGAAACTTTGGTATATATGAGATACATTTTCGTCGCTTTAAACTAGCTATAAGCTAGCTACATCATGAAGAGGTTATGTAATAATAATTATGTGAAATTTGAAAGTTTGTTTCCTTAATACATTCCCCCAGTAAATTGGACCCAATATTAAATGATGCAGACATGTTTGATTTAATAAAGACAGTAACTGACTGTGTGTTTCCTCTACCACTGGATGGTGGATTTACACCAAAAAAGGGTAAGAGTGATTTAGATCAGGAAGAGACAGAAGTACTAATGGAGGCTACAATAGAAGCACTTGAGGAACTACTAACTGAACTACTCACCAAGAACTGTACTCCTAATGCATTTGATAATATTCTCAAGGTAAAAAATTATAATATCTAACTGTGGTTCCTGTACTTAGTATTATCTTTTTTTCTATAAAATGTAACAATTTATTTCAATATGAATAATTTGTTACACCCCTATGCAGCAAATGGTAAAATGTTATTTCAATAAACCAGTACTAGAAAGACTGTCATTTGAAATTCTATATTTATTATATGCTCGAAAAACTTTGGCATATAATGTTATACACCTGGTTGTCTGTCCGTCTGTTAGCAGTTTTTCGTGTCTGGTCTGTATCTTGAAACTACTTGGCAGAAATGTTAACCATAATGAGACGATGTGCAGAACAGAGGTTTGACCTTTGTCAGGTCAATGTCACACAGTCTTTTTTTGTATCGATTTCAAAATTTTGTGTCCTCTGTATCTTTAGAACCAATAGAATGAAATTAAATCTTTCTGGCAGAAATATTATTCATAATGAGATATTATGCAGAACAACGGCCCTGCTCCGGGGATTACTTGATTTAAATTGGACTTACACATTCAAGTTTACATTGCAGTGTCTAGAGCTGGGATATTTAGCATGTAACATTGCCGTATTGACCTTTACAAAACAGATAAGAATCATGCCCACTTGATAAATATAAACTTTATAGGAAAAACACATCTGGGACTAGTGTGTAAAACTACAATGCCTAGAGCTAAGTTCTTTGGCATGTAACATCACTTGTGGATCACAAAATAACTGGTATTAATCATACCCCTTGGGTCAATGTTGGCCCCTCCCTTTGGGTCACTTGATATAGTTTTGTATGAAAAAACTCATTTCAGTCTTATTTTGTAAAACTACAATGCCAAGAGCTAAAATGTTTAGCATGTGGCATTACCTTATGCATGTTTGCAAAATTGATATTTATCATGCCCCTGAGTGATGAACTTGATCAGTTAATTGTTGTTTCTGTTTATATATGTAAATATTTTATAGATAGAAGGCCATATTGGAAATAAGTTGTATGTTTATTATTTACTCTTAATATATCTCCTTTTCATATAAAGTTATTACTATTATTGTTACTATTATAATTATTAATCTATATAAGGGACTTAAAGCAGCTCCACTGACGTCCAAAAGCTTTTTTTTTTTTTAAAAAAAAACCTTTATGTTTAAATATCTTACAGATCAACTAGGGACATTAAAAATTAAAAGAGTATGAAAAAAGATAATAGAGAAATATAATCAGAATAAATCAAATCAATATTTAGTGTGACTGCTAGCGAGATTTGAGTTTGCACAACACAATGATTTTGTCATTTGCCAGTGAATATCACATCATATTCAATCACAGTCTCAGTAGTCAATAATTGTAAATATTGTCATTCAATGGCTTTGAGGACAATGAACATGAGCTTATAGTTGCCTTGTAACTTTTATTTATTTTTGTGAAATAGTTAGATTTGAATCAATTAGTATGCCAAAAAGAACAAAATGCAACAATTAATTTTCATGCACAAGTGTAGTTAAAAGTCTATGATATATGCTTTTTGAATAGGAATGTGATTCTTTTTTTAGATATGGAAAATCTCATTCAGCCGATGAATATGATACTATATACACCAAGTGATTTTTATAATTTGTTCTGTTGACTACTAGTTGTATCAATTGCAGCTATTTTAGATGATATTATAAACTATAATTATTACCATATTGAGTGTTTTATATAATGATTATATTGTAATATGTTTACATAACAAGAATATGACATTTAACTACTATAATTATGTTGTATATAAACTATTTCAGCATTTAATACCCTGGTATTTATCCCTACATGATCATGAGAGACAGAGATCCATGAAAACAACACACGTATTACTACAATATCTCCTGGAAAACATAGACACTAGCCAGGTATACAGTAAATTTACAACTAAATGTGCACATAAAGATGATACTATTGTTGAATTGTTGTTGAATTGTATGGTATCATTTTTGAAACAATCTAACGTTATTTCCTATAGAGTTGGTTAACATGTTCACAATCATAATGCAACACAGTTTTAAGAGATCAGATATGATTATCAAAATAAGTAGAGGATATTGATTAGTGTAAGTTCAATACTGAATTTATTGCACGAGTTGAATAAAATTATATTATGCGAGCATCTGGCAAGCATAATATTATTTTATTCAACAAGTGCAATAAATTCAGTAATGAACTTACACGAATTTAATATTCTATTTATCACATACCCAAAATAAAGACCGTTTAAAGTGAAATAAGAGTCATTTTTCATTGACGCGCCTATAGTATAACGCTAACATTTAGCGCGTCTTTACACTATGTTTGTATAACTGTTAGCTAATGACGTCACGTCAAAATATATGCAGGGCTGTGCAATACCATTTTTATGGAGTCGCAAATTCGGCACGGGTGTGTGATAAAATTTATTTATGGGTTTGATTTATACTTGGATAAAGAACACATATGATAAAACAAACATGTTGAATTATTCTGATACTATCTTGAGTTTGCTTTTGGCCTTGACCTTCAAGGTCAAATTATTGAAATAAATTTTGAATCATTTCATTTCTTTGTTACTTCTTTTACAGATTTGATTTACACTTAAACAAAAAGAACACATAAAACAGACATGTTGAATTTTTCTGATATTGTTCTTAAACTGACCTTTACTGTCAAGGTCAAATTATTGAAATTTACTTAAGTTGTCATAACTTTGTTATTTATTAATGGATTTGGGTCATTCTTGGAATACTCTAACACTTGTGACAAAACTGACAATGATGATTTATTTAAATGTGACCTTGGCCTTTGAATGACCTTGACAGGCAAATATGTAATTCATTTTATAATTTATGCAAGACAGTTCTGTTTTCTATAAGTATTCTTTACTGCAATATTCTTACCTGCATGTGTTTGACCTTAGAAGTAAGGAAAAGTCCAGCTTGTTTTTTGTTCTTTAACTTCTTTTACTTTTGTTAGAAGTTAGAGTTTACACATGAGCATGTATTGCTGGCTAGACTGGTACCTCGATGTTCTGATCCATGTATTGAGGTGAGACAGATGAGCATGGACTGTATACAAACAACATTGTTGATTGCTCAAAGATGTGAAGGTATAATTTAACATAATACATGTTATTAATGAGAATTTTTATGTAAATGTAACATAAGCATTGCTTATAAAAGTGAACATTGTTTTGAATTTTTTTTTCAAGGAAATAAGGGATTTTTTATTGTTGCAATATGCCATAATTATTGAAAGTTATATTGATTTTTTTTCTAACAAGGAAAATTTTGTGAAAAATATATAGATATTTCAATTGTATATTTTAAAATTTGCACCTTAAATGCAGTCACTTGATTTTCATTTTAGGTTCCCATGATAGTATCAATTTGAACTTTTTGGTGTTGGTTTGGTGCTAAATATAGATGTACATTTCTCTTTTTACCTCCTTTACTTATTGACAAATGTGCATTGAAAGACATTTTACCAATGTCACATTAAGTGATATTTATTGTTGTTTTTTGGTCTTACTAGGTAGAATTATTGAAAAATTAACTTATCTTGTTACGGATGTGTAAGCTCGGAATGTTTATTGTTAAATGATTTAGGTTTAGGGGCAGACCATAAAGACCAGATGGTTGAAGCCCTGCCTACTCTGAAAGAAAGATTACAGAAAGGTGATCCTAATGTACTCTACAGTGTGGTGAATGATTTAGCCAAAGTAAGATACTAAACTGTAAAAATAAATATTTTGAAATATTATGTTTTTTTTTGTTTTCTTAAAGATTGCTCACGCATTTATTAACTTTAAGGGTATAAACCTAGTATGTTAGTAATAGGAAGAACAATTGTTAATACCATTATACAAATTATCTTAATGTCTTTGTAAATTTTCATTATAGTAAATGTTACATGCACAGAATCATCTGTACCCCCCTTTTTACGGGGAGCACATATAGTCGGCTCCTTGTCCGTCTGTCCGTCCGTCTGTTTGTCTGTCCGAGCAAACATTTGATATATATGAGCTTCATTTCGTAGTTAAATAAAGAACAAAATCTCATAAAATTCAAATTAAGAGCTATTTTTTGTTTTTTTCAGCTAATTTTGCTTATGGACTTTGGTCCAGGTGTAGTTTATGAGCTGATTTGCCTCTTAAACATCAAAAGTTGGTACGTCCGTCCGTTGTCTTGTCCGGAGCATAACTTGAAAACCCTTGGAGATAATTTGTTGAAACTTCATACAGTGGTAGAGGGCATTGAGGGGGTGTGCAGTGTCAAAGAACCATAACTCTATTTTGCCTGTTTTTTTAATTATCTCCCCTTATAGAAAAATCTTGTCCTGGGCATAACTCTAAAACTATAAGAGATATCAACATGAAACTTTGTAGGTGAATAGATTCAATGGGTAGATGTGCAGTGCATAAGAACAATAACTCTTTTTGTCCTAATTTTGGTGTAACTGCCCTTTGTTAATTTTAACACTTTGAACTTTGTCCGGAACATTACTCTAAAACTATAAGAGATATCAAGATGAAACATTGTAGGTAAATAGATCTCATTGAGTAGAGGTGTAGTGCAAAAGAACCATAACTCTGTTAAGCCTCATTTTTGAATTATTTCCCCTTATAGAAAAATCTTGTCCAGGACATAGCTGTAAAACTATAAGAGATATCAACATGAAACTTTGTAGGTAGATATATCTCAATGGTTAGATGTGCAGTGCACAAGAATCATAACTGCCTTGCCTAATTCTGGAGTTATTGCCCTTTGTTTATTTTAACTTTTTGAAGTTTTCAGGGACATAACTCGGAAATCATAAGAGACATCATCAAGAAACTTTGTAGCTTGATAGATCACATTGATTAGAAGTGCAGTGCAAAGAACAGTAACTCTGCCTTGCCTACTTTTGGAATTATTGCACTTTGAACTTTTTCTTTCCAGAGACATAACTCTGAAACTACAAGAGGTGTACTTTCCTGTGTCCAAAACCTATTCGGGGAGCATCACCCGGCTCAAACGGGGCTCTTGTTTAAATAGCAATAGGATATTTTGTTTTACATTTGCTTATAATATTTATGTGTGTTAAGATAATAGAGACATTGTTATGAAAGTGTATGAAACTAATGTGATTATACAATTCTTTAAAACTTTAAAGTAAATTCGCTCTTTAGAATCATAAAGAATCAATAGATGATTTGCTATAGCAATTTTATTGATAACTGTTCACTAATGTAAAAATAGATTTGTGTAAACAACTGATTGATTGCCTAGTGTTTCCTAAAATTGTTACATGTAAATAATGCATTATTTTAGGTTATATCGAAGAAGTTGCCATCATCACAGCTTAAACCTTTTATTGAGATAATACAGGAAGGATTATTAGACCCACAGTCACACAGCTCATCTGGGGCATGTGTTGTTCTTAATGGAATCATGAAAAATAGAGGAACAGAACTTCAAAAAGAGGTAAACAAGTTTTATAAGCCCAAACATCTTCAGGATGTATTATAGTATGACATTTTCCATCCTTCTGTCCATCTGCAGTCAAATATGGACCATCTAACTGTAAATGGAACAAAACAGAAGTTCATTCAATAACAATAGAATAAAGGGCCCTCTGTGATCTTTAATCATAACATTCTGTTATCTTCAATTACTAATATGCTAACTTACAAAAATTAGACTTTAAACATGTAGTTTTCTTTTATATTTAATGGAAATGTCATAATCTGAGTCATTTACAAATCATTTACAACAATAGATCTTTCTTTGATTAAGTCTTGTTAATTTGTCATGGGCCTTTATTGAACTGTCTTGTAAATTGTTTGTCTTTAATAACCAGATTTTCTCATTTCTAGTGAAAACAAATCATGTTTAATCAAAGATCTATATACAGTCCAACCACAATCATTCAAATTGCAGGAGACTGAAAATTTACTTTGAATAATCGATGGGTTTGATTCGAAATCCGAATATAGTGACAGACGACAACTATTCAACTTTGGCGATATACATGTATAAGCACCATTTACAACACACTTGTTTCAATTGTTCAATTGAGAAAAATAAATAAACAACAAAAGATGCATAAAAATAAAATTTTATTGGTATAGAAGACATAAATACTTTCATTTTATTCAGCATTATGTAGCACATATACGTTATACATGAAAATTATCGCTGTCATCTTCAATCATTAACTATAACAACATTGGACACGGTGCAGAATTTTAATCATAGATAAGATAGACATGTATTCACAATTAGAATATCTTGTGCTTAAAATGCACTGATTTGAAAAAAGAAAAAGAATTTTTTCAGTATTCTTATACAAATACATGGTAGTATTTCTTTATTTACTGTCATTCTTTCATTAGTCCGTTCGTCCATAAACTTTGAATTTAAAATGACATCTCCTCATAAACCGCTAAGCCAATTTCATTCCAACTTCACAGGAATGTTCCTTTGGTAGTCAACTTTGAAAATTGTTCAAAGAATTTAATTCCAAGCAGAACTCTGGTTGTCATGGCAACCGAAAGAAAAAACTTAAAATATCTCATTTTAGAAAACCAAAAGAGCTAGAGCTTAAATATTTGGCATGAATTATCATCTAGTCAGTGTCTACTAAGTTTGCCCAGGGTACAAACTTGGCCCTGCCCGGGGGGTCATTGATTTTCCTTATTTGTATATAGTAAAAACTTAAAAAATCTTCTTTTAAAATACCCAAATAGCTAGAGCTTAGATATTAAGCATGAAAAACATCTTCTAGTGGGTGTCTACCAAGTTTGTTCAAATAACGGCCCTTGGGTTAAAATTGGCCCGGCCCCAGGGGTGTATAGTAAAAACTTAAAAAATCTTCTAATAAAAACCCCAAAAAGCTAGAGCTTAGATATTAGTGTCAACTAAGTTTGTTCAAATAAAAGCCCTGGTTTAAAATTGGCCTTGGCCCACCTGGGGCCTTTATACAGGTCAGCAATTTCAGGGCCATCATGGCCCTCTTGTTTACTAGTGAGAGCCATCTTGTCTTTTCTGTTTGTCAACTTTGGCATGTAATTACTGGATTTTCATTTAATCTGTCACTTATGATCATACTGGTGTCAGTGTTATATCTGTCAGCTTGTATAATAATTTAATACTGACATTTGATTTCTATATTAACTCTTCAAATTGAAGTTTAGTGCAAGCAGAAACATGTGAAGGAAACTGCTTCTTTCATGATTCAATCACAGGTTATTAGTAAATATGCATTTGTCCGTATAGCAATGGGGAAGATTTTAGACTTGATTTTGTGCATTTTTAGCTCGACTTTTCTATGAAAAGGGGAGCTATCCTACTCGCCCCGGCGTCGGCGTCGGCGTCGGCGTTAGCGTCGGCGTTGGCGTCACACCTTGGTTAAGTTTTTCGTACCACCCACTTTATTTCAGAAGTATTACAAGTATGGCTTTGAAACTTACCATACTTGTTCACCATCATAACCTCCATCTACAGACAAGAGTACATAACTCTGTCAAGGTTTTTGACAGAATTATGGCCCTTTTTGACTTAGAAAGTGTATTGAGCTTGGTTAAGTTTTTTGTACCACCTCACTTTATTTCAAAACCATTGGAGGTATTGCTTTGAAAACTGACCATACTTGTTTACCATCACGACCTTCATCAACAGACAAGAGGACATAACTCTGTCAAGGTTTTTGACAGAATTATGCCCCTTTTTGACTTAGAAAATACATTGAATATGGGTAAAATCCACTTATTGCCTTAACCTTTGAGATATTGCTTTGAAACTTTTAATGCTATTTCACATCATTACCCCCCATCTGTACGCAAGAGAAGGTAACTCTGTCAAGGATTTGTTTTAAAAATTAAGGCCTTTTATCGACTTAGAATCTTGGTTAAGTTTTTAGTACCAGTCCACTTTTTGACTGAACTGTTTGAGATATTAATTTGAAAGTTGGAATACTTGTTTACCATCATGGTCCAAAACATGGGCAGGAGAAGGTAATTCTGTTAAGGATTTTATTTTGAATTATGGCCCTTTTTGACTTAGAAACTCAGTTAAGATTTTCATTCTTGTCCACTTGTTGACTTAACCATTTGAGATATTACTTTGGAAGTTGGAGTTCTTATGTGCCATCATGAGACCTATCTGTAAGCAAGAGAAGATAACTCTGTGAAAATGTTTCTTGATTTGTACTTAGAAATTCCTAGTTAAAGTCTTGTGTGCCCTTAACTGTCAAAGTTTTGTTTTATAGGCAAGCACTAAAAAAGTCGAGCGCGCTGTCCTTCTGACAGCTCTTGTTTTTTTTGTTTTAACAAAATCACATTGTTTTCAAATTTTCTTAAAAAAAAAAAATAGCTTTTCTGATGTACAACATGTCATAGAGCTTTAAGGGATTAAAATAAACGTTTAACTGAAGTGATAGTGTCATGTTTGAATATCATATTCTTTTTATAATTATCTAATTTTATCTACCTAATAAATAACGTGCCAATGAGCCAGTCTATAGTCAATCATTTAAAAACTTAACCATTGAGAGAGGTAACGACTGAAGCAATGTCACTCACTTCATTTGCTCCGCCTCTGTTGAAGTTCGTCTCCGCCTTAAATTATTGCCAAATTCAATATGCTAGCATTTAGTCTTCGTTGACGGCAGGGGGGGAACCAGGACAATTATGATCAATATAACTTGACAAATTATTAAATTACAAGTTACAAAGCCTAAAGCACCCCCCTATCAGAGAGGCGGTTCTCCCCAACACCGACTCGTCTATAGTCTAATGATGGGAACCAAATTCGGGAACAAGAGGTATCACTTAAATACGCAACAGAAATTATTTTGGCACTACAGACGCAGCGGAAATATTTTTTGCAAAACAGGCAAACGTGTGCGACATGTAATTCATTAAAATAATTAACATTTAAGTTATAAAACAGAAAAACTGAGTGAAAAACGTACGTTTATTTTTAAATGTATCACAAATATTTGCAATAGGTTATTTTGAAGGATTCTGTGACCAACCATTGTTCTCTTTTGCCTAGATTTTTTATTACATTGTGTGGTCCCATACCTAGATTCTAGGCGAATATGCAATCTTTTGTTTATTCAAGTAGTTTTTTTTTATAAATGAGTAAACAATGCGTAACAAAGAATTGATTATATATATTAATTTATTCATAACTATTATTTGATATTACAGACATATTTTCGCTATTTGAAAAAATAACAGACATTTCGTCCTCAAAATCATCCGAACATTATGCACTTCGCACTAATATTTAAACAGACATATTCTCGGCACATATTGTCTTGAATTTATTTTAATTTTACCAATCATTTCAATTTCACTTTTTATCCAATTTATTTTGCTTCGACCAGACGTTTCAATCTTTGTCGCAACAGACAAACATTTCAGAATTTCAGACACATACATGGAGAAGAAATTGATTAGTGCTTCGGATGGTTCAACTGTAATAGAAAAGAACTTTCAATTCTGATTTTGTACATAACCTGTGACTGTTCACATCATTTGGCGGTGTCTTTGATGTGCAGCATCAACATTTAACTTGTTTACATCCTTTGTAGGATCCTCATTCCTGACATGCATGAGCAATGTAGGATTATAGTTTATATACCCCCAAAAACAAAGTTTGGGGGGGGGGGGGATATAGGAGTCACCCGGTGGTCGGTCGGTTGGTCCAGACGTCTGTTGCATTTTCCTTGTCCGGAGCATAACTTGAAGACAAATGGTTGGAATTCAATATAACTACATACAATGGTCAAGCACATTGAGAGGAAGTGCAGTGCACAAGAACCATAACTCTATCTTGACTAATTACAGAGTTATTGCCCTTTGTTACTTTTCCTTGTCCGGGGCATAACTTGAAAACTACTGGTTGGAATTCAAAACCACTTCATACAATTGTCAAACACAATAAGGGGAAGTGCAGTGCACAAGAATCATAACTCTATCTAAAGTAATTACAGAGTTATTACCCTTTGTTACTTTTCCATTGCTTTCTTTTGTCCGGACCATAACTTGAAGACTAATGGTTGGAATTCAATATTACTACATACAATGGTCAAGCACATTGAGAGGAAGTGCAGTGCACAAGAACCATAACTCCATCTTGACTAATAACAGAGTTATTGCCCTTTGTTACTTTTCCTTGTCCAGAGCATAACTTGAAAACTACTGTTTGGAATTCAATACAACTTCATACAGTTGTCAAGGACATTAAAAGGAAGTGCAGTGCACAAGAGCCATAACTCCATTTTGACAAAATACAGAGTAACTACCCTTTGATACTTTTCCTTGTCCGGAGCATAACTTAAAACGTACTGGTTGGAATTCAAAACAACTTCATACAATGGTCAAGCACAATAAGAGGAAGTGCAGTGCACAAGAACTATAACTCCATCTTCAGTATTTATAGAGTTATTGCCCTTTTTCCCTTTTCTTTGTCTTTCTGGACTTATTACAGAGTAATTCAATAAAACTTCATCAATCGCAAACCACATTGGAAGGAAATGCAACATACAAGAACCACAACTATCTTTAATTGCCCACAAGCATTACTCTATATTTCAATTCTTTTACAAGGTATTCTGTTACTAGTAACATCCTCATTTCTGAAGCAGTCTTGTGGGGGTATTAATCGCATTTAGTGATAGTTCTAGTTTTATTTACACATAACCTCATTTTTTCTAACAGAAACAGAAACTGCTTTGATACCAATACTGCAAACTTGCTACATCCTGTTGGTTTCCCATGTCGTGTAACAAACAATATTTGTTGTAAATCAGCTTTAGCTTACCAGAACTTAATCATTTTTTTAATTTAAATTATTTGTTATGTTTATAACTGTTTGTACTATTTTATTATATTACAGGTTGAGAATATTCTTAGTTCAGTGCACTCTAAGTTGTTTCAAATCCAGTTTGCTCAAACTAAAACAGGTGCCTTGAGGACAATCAGAACACTGTCACAGCATCATCTCTTACTAGTGCTAAAATCATTATTAAACTATCCACTACCTTATGATGAGTAAGTAGATTTTATTGTTACAAACTATCCACTTGTTTATGATGTGAGAGTAGATGTGTAATATTCAACCAGGTTTTCAAATTTGAATACTTAGTATCCTGGTTATTAGATTGATGAAAAGCCTGTGGACCGATGTGCCGACATGCCACAAACAAGATGGTTTCCAGTCAATTACTTATATTCAGATTGACTTATCTTAATCAAACTTGGTATATAGCAAACTGATGTGAACACCTCGCTTGGGATTGCTTTTGGGCCCCAAGGGTCAAGGTCAATGTTACTAAAATTAGAACAGTTTTCAGTCAATAACTAGAGTAAGGAATGAGATATTTCAATGAAACTTGGAACAAAGCCAACTTATGTGAATGCCTGGCTTGGGTTTCATTGTTACTAAAAATTGAAAATTAGTTTTTAATCATTAGTTAGAGTTTGGAATAAGATAATTCATTGAAACTTAGTGTGTAGCAAGCTTATTTCAAGATCTCACTTGGGATTGCTTTTGGCCCCCCCCCTTAAAGGTCAAGGTCACTGTTCCTAAAGATAGAAAATTAGTTTCTGGTCAGTAATTAGATGGATTTAGGTTTGACATATTTTAATTAAACTTGTTGTATAATATTTCTATTAGAAAACCTTTCTTTGGATTGTTTTTGAGCCCCTCGATGTCAAGGTTAATGTCACTGTCTTAAAAAATGAAATTGGTTTCAGGTTGATAAGTAGAGTTAAAAGTGATAGGTATTTAAAAATATACTTGGTGTATAGCAATCTTATTCTTATGTGAAGAATTCACTTGGGATTGTGTAATAAACAGCCTAATTAGGAGAAACAAAACATAAGCTATGGACTGGTAACATTCAAGCATGGAAAAAATATGCATAAAAGGATGCATACATGTGAACTTTTTTTGATGATCAAGTGGGAGATTTTTCTTCAAAAAGAGGGAGATTTTAGAATTTGCAATAAACAAAGAAGGAAGTTCTGACATTAAAAATAGGTAGATTTTTTTAATTTGTGAAAATACCCCTTATTTCAAGAAAAATCTTTGAAAATATGGCTGCAGAAATAGGGAGTCTCCCACTAAAAGTGGGAGAGTTCACATGTATGAGGATGACATCAGATGTTCAATGGCTATACAATTTGTGACTCAAGTAATATATTAGATGGACACTTTGAATGATCATGCTCCATAAAGTTATATTTGAACTATTTAAAACCAAATCTTAAGGAGAGAAATAACACAAAAAGAGGATTTATACCAGATTTAAGCATTTATTCATTGATGTATGTAAAATGGTGTTTTTAATTAAAAAATCTAAAAAAGATAATAAGTAATTGGTGTTTCAGGAATGTGGTAGAAATCTGGAAGATATTATCACAGGACCCTCAGATCACTACAGTGATGTTTGACCACATGTTAGAGCTGTACCAGAAAAGTTTACCATATGAGGAGAAACCACAGGAGGGTCGGGAACCAGTCAGAAAAGCTACACAAGTTCCTCTAGCAGTAAGACTTGCATTCACATTGTTGTATATTTCTTCTTATAGAAGCTAAGAAACAGTTTAGGGATTTCACAGTTAGTGAAAATGCTAACCGTTTAAACGGTGACCTAATAACCATGTTAAACGTTTAACTGACTGTACTTTATAAAATCCTAAAATTTTCAACATTTACTTAGTTTCTTTATGACAAGATATTCCATTTTGTTTGTATTTTGTTGTACACAAAATGATTACAATACATATCCGAATATGAAGTAATAGTTTCCGCTAGGGTCGTTCTGTATTCGATCAGATTGGAAGAATATATTGTTGAGTTCAACTAAAATACAAACAATTGTCATATATTTTTATAAAAAAGCTAAGGTAATATTTAGAATCAATTTAAAAAAATTTCGCTCCTTTGTCAAATACTAATTTCGGTTACCAGTTATTGAATTTTCTAATCAGTTTTTAGCTAAAAACGACCATACCCTTGTAAACAGATAAAAGTGACACCCCTAAAACAGTTGTTGTTTTCTCTTTGTAACATTTTTAACAGTAGTATTGTCTGTTTATAAATCTATTATTATTTCGTCAATGTTTGAATGTTTTGATTTGTATAAATTTGATTGCAGATAACATGTGCATTAGTTGAGATATTACAAGTTGAAGAAACAGAGGAACAAGTAAAGAAGATCTACCACCGACTGTTTGCTGCCTTGATGGTTAGAATAGGTTCTAGTGTAGGTGTTGAACCTCTCAAACAACAAGTAGTAAGTTATGCTAATTTTCTGTTCTTTTACCTTCTTTATCAGTTTTAATATTTTGAAAAGAAAATAAATTTTAATAATAACTGTTAGCCCTCCACAATTGAAAATGCAGATTCATTTATTGATTTACATAACCTCAAGAATAATTTATATTTTCGACAGAAACATGTATATAATTATATATAGTACACATAATTGCTTGGAAATATAATTTTTCAATGATTATTGGTAAACTTAACTAGATGTGAAAACATTCGTACAAGTAGATAATGATTACATAGACAACACATATATTTGATGATGTGTATAACATTGTGGTTATAATACTTTTAATTGAAATCATTGTAATTGAAGGAAACATTTGATTTCTTGTTATAATAAACAAAGTTATAAATTAGAAGATGACTTTGTCACTTCAGCAAGAGAAAGACCCTAAAGATAAGAAGAAAGGAGCACCACCCCCACCTCCCAGTAAACAAGTGAAACCAAGCAGGTCTGTTTATACAGTATATATAAACTTATATCTACAACAAACATCAGTATATTATTCTATTATACATTTTTATAGATGTAAGTTTGAGGTTGTATATTTAATAAATTATAATATCTTGGCATACTGTAATTAATGTTCATGCTATGAATATGAATTCATTTTAAAAGGTCACCAAGACCTTGACCACTGAAAACTTGCCTGGCCAATGAAGCTGACAGTCCTAAGATTTTGTTTTGAGGTTGGTAATGACTAGAAAATAATGATTTTGAGGTCAGTGGTTCAAATGTCAAGGTCATGTTGGCGTCAACCACCAAAATCTTGTCCTACCAATGCAGATCTCCATTACTCTGATATAGTGTGTAGGTTGGGCATGGCTTGTAGATGACCCTTATTGATTGTAAAATGTTACGGTCATACTTGAACAAAATAAACTTTTGGACTTTTGGACAAGACCGTCTTAAAGTTGGAACTGACCTTGACCTTTAAATGATCTTGACCGTCAGGTCAAATTATTGAATTTGGTTGAAATTGCCATAATTTTTTATTTTTGTACCAATTTGATTCATATGTGGACAAAACAACACTTGTGACCAAACCGACATGTTGAATAGTTTAGATATGACCTTGACCATTAAATGACCTTGACAGTCAAGGTCAGATGATTGAATTTTGCATATATTTTCTTAGGTTTTCATTTGTTTATGGAAATGATTCATACTTGGACAAAAATACAAAATTTAATGTAACTAGACAGACCTATTAAAATAAAAAAAGGAAAGACATAATTATTTTTTTTCTTTAATTTTCTTTTTAAAGATTTGTTTAAACCGTTTCATTGTTTGCCTTGAGGAAAAATAAATAGAGTGTTGCCCCCGTCTGGTGGTGACACTTGTTATAAAAAAGTATTTTCTATATAGTTGATAAAAGAGGTGTGATTATGATTTAGATAATTGTAATATTGAAAAACTTTGATGGAGATAAATTGATAAATAAACTGGAGACAATGTGAAGAAGTTTATTAAGTATTTTTTGTATATGTATAGTGTTGCCGTGGAAGCATTCCGGAAATTTCTTGACCTGACAAAGAGTGAGGATATACAGGAAGTACTGGATAAAGAGGAATGCTGGGAGAAATTTGAAGATAAAGACGAGTATCATGAAGCCTTCAATATTCTTACAAAGTATGCACCATGTTAACATAAAATCCAGCTCATGTTTCCATTTAACAAGAATTTAAATTTCACCAACAAGCATAAAATTTATGTATTTGTGTTAGGTTACTTATCATCTTAAAATATGGTAGTTTCTAGAATACATTTTATGAGTAATTGTTGTTTTATTTGAAGGGCATTGGTCAACAGCACAGTTGGTGGAGAACATGTGTCTAAAATAGTTGCAAGTTTGACCTCAACGTTGTCGAGTTTGTATGATCCACAAAGGATTGTTGTAGCATCATTCTTTGCTGAGGTATTTTTTCATTTTTATATATTTTTAGGGCATATTGGTTGCTTTTGTCCAAGTACATCTAGGAAATCTTGTGGCCTAACTTGCTCCAAAATAGCAGAAAGTTTACACAGATTTAAGCTTGTGATCAGCCTGTGTCTTTTACTTAAACAAAATCATTGGTCTCCTCCCACTATTTACCGGTCTCTGCTGGTCTCCTTTAACCAGCAAATACCAGACTGGCAAATACTGTAAAACACTAATTATTTGCGAGAAATTTATTTTCGCTTATATTCGCGAGTTTTCTAAGACGCGAATTCATATCTCTCGCGAATATTTCACTTTGTCTATACACTAATCCGAAAATGAACACTATCCGAAAATACGTACACATGGATATAATTATCTGCGGGAAAGTATCGAAACCAGTTCTAGTTACATCATGTAGCTATTCAAGTGTTACAGCATATACATACCGTACAGATTACTAGTATGAAATATATACCTGTAACAATTTGATATTATTGAGAAATTGGAAAAAAACTTCTTCTCTGCATATTACCTGTGTCAAGGAAAGTAACTGTGACTTGCACTAGACTTAAGTATAAACAAATTAATGCGTCTCACAAAGTTTTAATGGTATTTCTACAGATTGTTTTAATTGGTACAAATACTTTAACACCTGCGAGTTGTTTGTAACATTTCTATTTATTGTATCCTATTGTATATACTACAGTTTAAGCCGGAGTGTAAACATAATCGTTCAAATTACAGTACCGTTTAATTGATTTTCGTCTGCTTGCCTTTGAATGGCTAATCAGTGAAACTTTAACACAGTGAACACATATCAAATAATTATCAAACTTTATTGACATATTTTTAGACAGACGGTTTCACTTAACAAGAAGATTAACAAGCTATCAGAAAAATCGATACAGATATAAATTCATTCGTCGCACAATAAACGACGCAAAGTTAGTGAAAGGACAGGACAGAAAATATCTGAATGACATCGGGTTTCCGGTTTCACATTTTTCGGGAAGACGCGAATTCATGTTGACGCGAAATAATTATTTTGGACATTTTGCCTCAAATTCGCGAAATAAGGTTCTCGCGAAAAATAAGTGTTTTACAGTAGTATCGCATGTTTTCAGACTGCTTTCTCCCAGTTTTGAAGTAGATATCTAATTCAATACATGCCAAATTAGTTTTTTTTTACTGATCAGATTTGATTAATACTTGGTCAGTTTTAATGTTGAGTAATTCAGGTATGACCTGAAACTTACAATAAGCTTTGAAGTTAAGGCCAAATAATTGAATTTTGCTGAAAACAACCATAATTTTGTTATAAATAGACTTATCTTGATTTATATTTGGACTCACCACCACCATGGATGAAAAACTTAGTAATGTATGCTTAGATACAATCAATATCTGGCTGAAGATAATATGATTTAAACTTGGAATGATTTTTAAGGTGTCTTTTAAATAAAAAAAAAATTCTACAGCTTTGTCATTTATAGGCATATTTTGGTTTTACTTGGACAAACATTCAGAGCCCAATTCTCAAATCAAGTTATTCAGTTTGACCTTGGGCTTTGACAGACAAGTTTGCTAAATGTAACTCGTCTCAATGTTTAAGCATTTGATGATAAGAAAAAGTCAGCTTTGGTCCCTGTTTGTGGTGGCTTATGTTACAAGAATAAAAGTAGTTTATGGGTATTTATCACATACAGTGTAACTTCTGAATTCCGGAACTTCTAGAATCTGGAAACTTCTAAAATCCTGAAACTTCTGAAATCCGAACATTTTTTCAGGGCCCAGAAATTTCGCCTGTTTTCTATATAATAAATACCTCTGTATTCCAGAACTTCTAAATTCTGAATTCCGAACGATTTTCGGGTAAAATTTGGGTTATATCAATTCAAATTTACTTCCAAAATTCGGACATTGAAAAAATGTTTGACAGAATATCATAATTGAGATTTTAAAACCTTTAAAATGTCAGTATCTTCGAATTAGCAGAAACCATTTATCTTGACACCTATTACAATCACAACCTATCAAGCAAGTAAAGCACTTGATTAAAGTGTGAAAAACAAAAAATGAGAAGTATATTTTGATGAAACCAAAAAAATACAGATTAGTCATAGCTAGTACAACATGAAATTATGCTTTTGTATCAACAAATTCAGTTATAGGTGATACTGAAGTTCAATATACAATGTAGTTACAACTTCTTAAAAGTGCTTTAATTTTGCCATTTTATGAACCTAATGAGCTTCCTATATTTTTCATCTGATATTCAATGTTAACCTAATGTTTCTACTTGTTCAGATAATTCCGAACTTCTTAATTCCGGAAACTTCCAAATTCCGAACTTTTTGGCTAGTCCAACAGGTGTTCGGTTTTCTGAAGTTACACTGTACAATGATAGTTCTTGTTTTATTTCATTCCCTGTAAAAAAACAATGGACAGTATTGTGTTCATAATAAAAGAAGGCAAATGCATTCATTAAATGTTAAATTGGCATTATCAGTTATCATTAATTATTTATACTGATATGTAATATTTCAGCTTGTAAATCAGAAATGTATGGGAGATGATAATTTGATAGAGCTTATCATGAACAGTTTATTAGGACGTTTGGTAGATTCCTCTCATGTTGTCAGACAGATGTGTATACGTGGACTCGGTAATGTTGCCAGCATTGGCAAAACTCAGGTAATATATATATATATAAACAATAGTTTATTAGGGATTGTTTTAAACATGGTAATGATGTATATTGTAATGTTGTTTTCTCTGAAAACTTGGTAATGATGAAATGATAATAATTTCACTTTCCTTATATGTTAGATACAGTCACTACAATTGCTAGGTCAATGATACTTATTATTTAAATTTTTAATCTGTTTGTCATTCAATCAATCTGATGAAATCTGGGTTCTACCATAACCAAGTAGAACAAAAGCTAGTTTGATGACACATAGAGGACCATATTGAGGGTTTAGTGCAAGAATGTAGTAATAACAATTTTTTATGAAAATGACTTTTTTTGAATTTCCTGTATTATTTGATGTTTTACATAATGTGGTAATTTTTTTGTTTTTATTTTACTTCATTTCATAAATTTTTTATAAATACTCTAATGTAGTAACTCAACAGATAAAAATATTTTTCTGCAAAACTGTTGTAACTTGAGTTACGACAGTTTTGCACTGAAAAAGACATCAAATTTTTATATCATTTCAACGCAAGACTGTAGTAACTGTGTAGTTACTACAGTCTTGCGCTAAAATGATAAATAATTTGTGCTAACATTTTCATGTAAGACTGTAGTAACTCACAAAGCAATACATTATGATATCATCATTGATCAAATTTCAAAGAAGTTAACACTACACATGTATATGCTTGAAGCATTCTATATTAGCAACATTTTATGTCAGTGTATTTCAGAGATCTTGCTAAAAATAAAAATGGATATGAAACTTTCAGTTATATAAGTAAACCCTTCATTAATATCAGAAGTGCTAGTTTGTGCCAATTTCTGTTGTCCTAAATGAAGAATTAAGAAAAAAACAAACATATCCTTTGTCAGTAAGTATGTTAATATCTGTAAGCATAAACATAATGCTTATTCATTGATTGCTCAAAGAATTTTGTTAGTTTGCATCTCTAGAATTACATTGTTTCATAAATGACAAAATACTATGTACAAAAATGTTGATACTTAAAATAACTTTGCAAAAATGATAATTATGATACTTTATAGAAATTGGAATACAAAAAAAAGATTTAACGTCTATTGCAATATACATATATCAGAGTTCTATAAAATCAGTAATAAACCTACACAAATACGAGGATTGATCAAAAAGTTGTTGGCCCGATGTACTTCTAGTAGTCAGAGAACCCAACTAATGGTCAATATAATTGCCCTCTAAATAAAACTCTCTATTTTGGTCTCTCTATTGTGGTCCTAAAAGAACTCATTGACTGCTCCATGGCACCTTCATTGCTTCCAAAACGTCTACCATGAAGCTTGGTTTTCAGTTTCCGAAACAGGTAGAAGTCAGAGAGATATCCGGATAAACAGAGAATATCCGGGATGGGTAAGAATTTCAAAGCCGCAGTCAGTTGTAGCAGCCATCGCAACATGGGATGTGTGAGCTGGCGCATTGTCATGCAGGAGCAGAACGTCTGGAGTCAGTTTGCCCCTCCTTTTACACGCAATTTCTTGATGCAGACGTCTCAATTTTGTCTGCATAGTACATACCATTTATGGTACAACCTTGCTCAAGATAGTCAATCATGATTATTCCCTTACTATATACCCCAAAAAATTGAAGCCATCATCTTCCCTGTTAATGGCACCCTCTTGAATTTCTTTGGAGGGGGGTGAGCCAGGGTGCTTCCACTGCATGCTCTGTTGTTTTTTTTTATTCTGGATCAAATTGATGGACTCATTTTTCATCCTGAGTTACGATCCGGTAGATAAAATCAGGTTCATCCATGTAGCAAGACAAAAGATATTTTGAAATGTCAAGCCTGGTCCGTTTCTGGTTGTCAGTCATCTGTCTGGGGACCCATCTAGCGGGGGGGACATCCCTTTCTTACAGAGGTACTGGTTTTCAGAGGTACGGCTCTGGTTTCAACTTTCTCCATATTGTCTAAATGACACACCCCTCTACTGATGAAAGTGTGTTTTATGTTACTTAATCTATGTAAAACCGCGTGTAACTCGGTCAGTAATCTTCAATAATATTGGTATCAACGTATCGTGTGTAAATGTCAGTGTAGTGGCTAGAAGTATATAGGGGCTTAAAACTTCTTGATCATACCTCGTATAAAATTCTGCTTAACACATACCTAAAATAAAGGCTGTTTTCAGTGCAAAAGAATAACATGCCTATAGTATAACGCTTACATTTAGCATGTTTTTACAAGCAAATGACGTCGCATCAAAATATATGCATTGCCGTGCAATACCATTTTTACGAAGTCACAAAGGCGGCACAGGTGTGTGATAAAGTTTGTATTTGAATTCATTACATGCAATAATTATTGGGCTTAAATCTAGAATTACTCATATATCTTAATATCCAATAAGAATTTGTAGATTTTTTTAATTGCAGAGTTTGAGAATATTAAACAAGTATTTGCTTTGTTAACACTTTTAACCATATTTTGTGGTAAGTCAAAGTTGATGTTTTCTCTCCTGGGCCCTGCTAGGGGGGTCTCTACTGAGCCCTGCTAGGGGGGTCTCTACTGGGCCCTGCTAGGGGGGTCTCTACTGGGACCTGCTAGGGGGGTCTCTACTGGGCCCTGCTAGGGGGGTCTCTACTGGACCCTGCTAGGGGGGTCTATACTGGACCCTGCTAGGGGGGTCTCTACTGGGCCCTGCTAGGGGGGTCTATACTGGACCCTGCTAGGGGGGTATGTTATTTGTATGTTTTATATGTGTGATACAGGTTCAGCATTATTCTACAACTGTGTTATCAGCTATGATGGCAGGAATGGATGACAAGGAAGATCCTGAAGATGATATTACAGTAGAATCAATGAGTGGATTGTCACGTGTCCTCACTGAGATTGATGAGAGTCATATTCGTGCCATACTTATAAATGTAGCACTTAGAATCAGACCATGCTTTGAAAAGGTACACTTTTATAAGTTTAACACAAACATTATGGTAGACAATTAGCTTACTTGTGATGAAACTTGGGTCTACTTCTTTATACCCAAACATCAGTATTGAGGTAAATTTATAGAAATGTTGTTCTTAGAAAATGGTTCCGCCTCTTACATGGCAATACACCTGCCAGTAAGGTACGGACTATAACTGTGGTTCCTATATAACTGTGCTTTCTCTTTGATTGCATTCATTCCGTTCAAAGCTGTTATGTGGTTTTTCTAAAAAGAACAGTAAATAGAACAATAGAGTAGCCAAGTTTAGATTTTGTGATCACAATACGTCCGGCGTCTGGCCATCCGTTGTCTGTCCGTCTGTTTGCACTCCCAAATAAGGATAGGGGGACATCTAACTGTAAACAGAACAAAAGAGAACAATAGAGTTCTTAACAATATCATGTTTCTCCTTTGCATAATCTGCTACGTTATTTAGGCAGTAGCCAATATAGATAAGAGAGATAATTTATTCAACATGGTCACATGTCACAAAAGTTGTTCAGAAAAAGGCCTGGATCTGATAAGCAGGGGGTCATATATTAATTTTCCCTTGATATACTGGTCATCGTATAATTTATTATATAATCAATCAGTTATAATGTTTGTGCCAATAATGTTTGTCAAACAAATTACTGCAAATACCAAAACCAAAACATTTATTTGTTTGTGTTTGATACGGTTTCGGATTCCATGCGTTCTGGATGACAGGTTGTAATATTGTCTTGTTGCATCATGTCATACTAAAAAATAAATGGATAAAAGAATTGTATAGTAATAAAAGAAGGTATATCCTGTTTGAGGAAAATTTGAACTGTCTGTTTTCAGTGAAAAAATGTTTAAATATGAACATTTAAAAGTATCATTTCAATTTCTTTCAACTATATAATGTTTTTGAAGAGGGATTTTGAAATATTAGTTTTTCTGTTATCTTTGGAAGCTTGCTGCTTTAATGTCAGTCTGACTAATTGTTTGTTTACATTTTGAATACGTATAGGTTAGGTAAAGTCTAGTAATTTTTTTATAACTTGTTCATGATTATAACTCAGGATAAGGCAAATGTGCGAGCCCAGTCTTTCATACTGTTTGGGAACTTGTCAGAGTTTGGGGATGGTCCATCAAAACAGCCATTCTTGGAGCAAATACACAGTAACTTTGTTAGTCTTCTACTACATCTCAATGACCCAGATGTTGAGGTGAAAAAGGTAAATATTTTAAAGTTCATTTTTATGAGATATGTTTAGATATAATAAATAAAACATAAGGATTCTTGACATGTAAGGTCCAGGTTTTCTGAATGAAAATCTGGTTATAAGATTGGCATATGTTGATGGTAGGTGAGATTGTAATTTAAATTGCTAGAGAAAAATGTAAGAAAATATTAATATTTTATCTATTTCTACACAATTAGATTTGATTGTACATTTGTCATTTTTTCAGGCATGCAAGTATTCATTAAGAAAGATAGGCGGTCTAATAGGGTCCGATCCAATCAACACAATGTTCCAGAAACTTCTACTAGATGATGCTAACCTTCATTATGGAGAGTTTATGAATGATCTTTCCAAACTTATTGTAAGTCTAGATAATGATGCTTTTAAATACTTTTAAAATGCAGTGTTTCCATGTGATCCAAACTAATTGCAGAAAAGGGAGAATTAACCTTCTCAATCAAGCATGCCATTGGCAGCTTACAATAGTTCAGTTTATTTTTAGCTCAACTTTTTTGAAGAAAGATCTTGGCATATTGCTTCAGTCAGGTTGTTATTGCCATTGCTTCTAGAAACTATCATCTTGGTCATATCTTTTTTTATTTCGTAAGGGATTGTCTGCATACTTGAACCAAAAAACCCTTTGGACAAGACCTTCAAAACCAAGTTGATTATTGCCTTCACTCAATAATGACCTTGACAATGCAGGTGAAATTATTGAATTTTGCTTGATATTTCCTATAATTGACAGTCTTCATACTTAAGCACAACTACCTTATGGACAATGTTTTGAAGAAGATCAAACTCAATTTGACCTTGACTTATAAATTACCTCAGCAATCAAATTATTGTAATTTCACTCTTATATGCTATAATTGTGCCCCCACTTTAAGGGGCGGCATTTAGATTTACCCTTGTCTGTCCGTCCGTCCGTTCTCTTTTGTGTCACACGTAACTGAAAAAGTATTTGACCTAGAGTCATGAAACTTAACAGCAATGTTGATCAGCATGTGAAGTTGTGCACCTGGGTATTTTCGTGTGGATTTATTCAGTATTTTTAGCTCACCTGTCACAAAGTGACAGGGTGAGCTTTTGTGATCGCTTTTCGTCCGGCGTCCGTCCGTCCGGCGTCCGTCCGTCCGTAAACTTTTGCTTTAAATGACATCTCCTCATAAACCACTGAGCCAATTTCATCCAAACTTCACAGGAATGTTCCTTTGGTGGTCACCTTTAAAAATTGTTCAAAGAATTTAATTCCATGCAGAACTCTGGTTGCCATGGCAACCAAAGAAAAAACTTTAAATATCTTCTTTGAAAAAAACCATATGAGCTAGAGCTAGCATGAAACATGTTCTAAAAGGTGTCTACCAAGTTTGTTCAAATAAAAGCCCTGGGGTCAAAATTGGCCCCGCCCCTGGGGGTCATTGATTTTCCCTATATGCATATAGTAAAAACTTAAAAAAATCTTCTTTTAAAGAACCGTAAGAGCTAGAGCTTAGATATTTAACATGAAACATCTTCTAGTGAATGTCTACCAAGTTTGTTCAAATAAAAGCCCTGGGGTCAAAATTGGCCCCGCCCCTGGGGGTCATTGATTTTCCCAATATGCATATAGTAAAAACTTAAAAAAATCTTCTTTTAAAGAACCGTAAGAGCTAGAGCTTAGATATTTAACATGAAACATCTTCTAGTGAATGTCTACCAAGTTTGTTCAAATAAAAGCCCTGGGGTCAAAATTGGCCCCGCCCCAGGGGGTCATTGATTTTCCCTATATGCATATAGTAAAAACTTAAAAAATCTTCTTTTTAAAGAACCCAAAGAGCTAGAGCTAAGATATTAAGCATGAAACATCTTCTAGTGAGTGTCTACCAAGTTTGTTCAAATTAAAGCCCTGGGGTCAAAATTGGCCCGCCCCGGGGGTCATTGATTTTCCCTATATGCATATAGTAAAAACTTAAAAAATCTTCTTTTTAAAGAAACCATAAGAGCTAGAGCTTAGATATTTGGCATGAAACATCTTCTAGTGAATGTCTACCAAGTTTGTTCAAATAAAAGCCCTGGGGTCAAAATTGACCCCGCCCCAGGGGGTCATTGATTTTCCCTATATGCATATAGTAAAAACTTAAAAAATCTTCTTTTAAAGAACCCAAAGAGCTAGAGCTAAGATATTTAGCATGAAACATGTTCTAATGAGTGTCTACCAAGTTTCTTCAAATAAAAGCCCTGGGGTCAAAATTGGCCCCGCCACGGTGGTCATTGATTTTCCTTATATGTGTTTAGCAAAAACTTAAAATCTTCTTTGAAAAAACCCAAAAAGCTAGAGTTTAGATATTAAGCATGAAACATCTTCTAGTGAGTATTTACAAAGTTTGTTCAAATTAAAGCCCAGGGGTCAAAACTGGCCCCGCCCTAGGGGTGTCATTGTTTTTAACTATATGTGTATAGTAAAAACTTAAAAAATCTTCTTTTAAAAAACCCAATGAGCTAGAACTTAGATGTTTTGCATGAAACAACTTCCTATGGGTGTCTACCAAGTCTGTTCAAATAAAAGCCCTTGGGTAAAAATTGGGCCGGGGGGGGGGGGGGCTCTATACAGGTGAGCGACCTCAGGGCCATCATGGCCCTCTTGTTAGAGTTATTGCCCTTGACTTAGTAAAAATTTGCAATTTTTTACTTGTGTCACACGTAACTCAAAAAAGTATTTGACCTAGAGTCATGAAACTTTACAGGAATGTTGATCAGCATGTGTAGTTGTGCACCTGGGTATTTTTGTATGGGTTTATTTATTATTTTTAGAGTTATTGCCCTTGACTTAGTAAAAGGTTGCAATTTTAAACTTGTGTCGCACGTAACTCAAAAAGTATTCGACCTAGAGTCATGAAACTTTACAGGAATGTTGATCAGCATGTGCAGTTGTGCACCTGGGTATTTTTGTCTGGATTTATTTAGTATTTTTAGAGTTATTGCCCTTGACTTAGAAATTTTTTGCAATTTTCAACATGTGTCGCATGTAACTCAAAAAGGATTTGACATAGAGTCATGAAACCTTACGGGAATGTTGCTCAGCATATGTAGTTGTGCACTTTGGGTTTTGCTTTTGGATTTACCCAGTATTTGTAGAGTTATTGCCCTTGACTTAGTAAAAACCGTTTCATTATGTTGTGTTATTTGTTCCTTGAGTGCTTGAGTTCGAATCAACCAACAGGAATAATGATCAACATCACTAAATTACAGGTATAATGATCAACATCACAGTGAAGCTATGCACCTGGGACTTTACATGTGGATTTTTTTTTCAGTTTTGTTAGAGTTATTGCCCTTGACTTATAGTAGTATAAATTTGCAATTTTCAACTTGTTCATGCATAGCTCAAAAAGTATTTGACTTGTAGGCCTGAAAGTTACAAGAATGTTTGTCAGCATATGTACTTTTGCACCTTGGGGTTTGCTTGTGGATTTATTCAGTATACAATGTATGTAAAGTTCTTGTCCTTCACTTATAGTAAAAGATTTTTAGTTGTGACACATGTAGTCCAAAAAATATTTGACCTAGAGTCATAAGATTGACAGAACAGTGGCGTTTGGGGGCACCCGTGTCCTATGGACACATTTCTAGTTGCTTTAACTTAACTATTGTGCACAAAAATTCATTTGACAAGACATTTAAAAAGAAATTTGTAAACTGGGCTTTGACCTAAATTTGTCTTTTATAGTAAAGGTCAAATAAGTGCAATTTGCTACAGTTGGCTATTACTTTGCTTTTATTTATGGATTTGATTAATACTTGGACAAAGGACACTAAGTAAAGCTGGAACAATACCATATGACCTATTCTGTGTCGGTGTGACGTAAAACCCAATCAAACAAACAAACAAAGAACACTTATAATAGACTGTCAAATATGACTTTAACCTATAACTGGTCTTGATCAAGCATTGAATTTAGCTTAGACTATCAGAACTTTATTATTTATTAAAGGCTTAAATTTATACTAGAACAAAAAACTCTTATGACAATTTCAAACCAGTATGTTCAATAATTTGAATATGTCCTTGATGGTCAAGGTCAAATTATTGAAATTTGCTTAAATTGACATAATATTTTATTTATTTTCTGATTTGATTTATACTTGGGCAAAAGAACGCATGACAAAACTGACTTGTTGCATTTTTTTTTATATGACTTAGACCTTTAATTAACCTTGACTTCTGATGAATTCAAATTTTACTGACCTTTGAATGACGTTGAACATTAAGGTTAAATATAAAATAATGTTTTATTTGAGTATTCTATACTACAGTTTCCATCCTATGATGTGTTTGACTTTAGGAATAAAAAAAATCAATTATGGTACCAGCATGTCTGTGACTCTTGTTTTTTTTCTCAGCAGATTGTTTGTTGGTTTTAATTCATTTCCATATACTTGTATTTGTTTCCTTTTAACACTTCTTATTTTTCATAAAAAAAAGTACATAAGGTTTTCAAATAATACTCATTTGAAACTTAAGATCACTATCCAAGGCCTTACATGCATACATTTTGGCTGAATAACTTCAGAAAGTTCTTGGTTTATGCTTTGCATGCCACATCAATATTCAAAACTACTGAATCATATTCCTTTGAATAAATATGAGACATGTCTTTATGAGCATAACTGGATGTCACTGTTTAAGGCCCATAACTCTGACATTTTGCCCGGATCATGGTCCTTGTGAACTAAGAAGAAATTAGGTTAAAATTTAACATGCATCATCTGTCTTCAAAACAACTGAAATTATTGAAATTGTATACATGTCCTAAGGATCATATTTGGAGGTCATTGTTCAAGCCAAGTCCATAACTATGTATAATCTTCCTTTTTGTTAATTCTTACATTATCCAGGTTCTTGTTTTACTATCTAGCACAGAGAATAATCAAGTGCCCTGTTTTACTGACAATGTTTTGTGTTTAGTGACATAACTTTCATGTAAAATCATTATAAAGATGTTGTTGAATTTATAATAAGCAAATATAAAAATGACAAATGTGATTATTACATTGTGTTTGCTATATTAAGATCCAAGATTTCCCAGAAAAGGTGAACTTTTATGTGATGGGCTGTGTATCATTTTACAAGAGTATGTGGTCCGAGATAAAGAGTAATGCTGCACTGTTTACAGGTAAGCACTTGCTATTAATAATAGTCACTAAATAATACAGAAGTGTTTCAAAAATAAATGCTTGATAATGGTAGACGTTGTTATGTAAGTCAGAAAGTGTTTACAGGTAAGCACTTGGTAATGGTATAAGTTGTTATGTAAGTCAGAAAGTGTTTACAGGTAAGCACTTGGTAATGGTAGAAGTTGTTATGTAAGTCAGAAGTGTTTACAGGTAAGCACTTGGTAATGGTAGAAGTTGTTATGTAAGTCAGAAGTGTTTACAGGTAAGCACTTGATAATGGTAGAAGTTGTTATGTAAGTCAGAAGTGTTTACAGGTAAGCACTTGATAATGGTAGAAGTTGTTATGTAAGTCAGAAGTGTTTACAGGTAAGCACTTGATAATGGTAGAAGTTGTTATGTAAGTCAGAAGTGTTTACAGGTAAGCACTTGATAATGGTAGAAGTTGTTATGTAAGTCAGAAGTGTTTACAGGTAAGCACTTGATAATGGTAGAAGTTGTTATGTAAGTCAGAAGTGTTTACAGGTAAGCACTTGATAATGGTAGAAGTTGTTATGTAAGTCAGAAGTGTTTACAGGTAAGCACTTGGTAATGGTAGATGTTGTTATGTAAGTCAGAAGTGTTTACAGGTAAGTGATAATGGTAGAAGTTGTTATGTAAGTCAGAAAGTGTTTACAGGTAAGCACTTGATAATGGTAGAAGTTGTTATGTTAGTCAGAAGTGTTTACAGGTAAGCACTTGATAATGGTAGAAGTTGTTATGTAAGTCAGAAGTGTTTACAGGTAAGCACTTGATAATGGTAGAAGTTGTTATGTAAGTCAGAAGTGTTTACAGGTAAGCACTTGATAATGGTAGAAGTTGTTATGTAAGTCAGAAGTGTTTACAGGTAAGCACTTGATAATGGTAGAAGTTGTTATGTAAGTCAGAAGTGTTTACAGGTAAGCACTTGGTAATGGTAGATGTTGTTATGTAAGTCAGAAGTGTTTACAGGTAAGTGATAATGGTAGAAGTTGTTATGTAAGTCAGAAAGTGTTTACAGGTAAGCACTTGGTAATGGTAGAAGTTGTTATGTAAGTCAGAAGTGTTTACAGGTAAGCACTTGATAATGGTAGAAGTTGTTATGTAAGTCAGAAAGTGTTTACAGGTAAGCACTTGGTAATGGTAGAAGTTGTTATGTAAGTCAGAAGTGTTTACAGGTAAGCACTTGATAATGGTAGAAGTTGTTATGTAAGTCAGAAATGTTTACAGGTAAGCACTTAATGGTGGAAGGTCACTATGTGATAAATAACAGTACTGTTTACATGTCTTTGTAAGCAGAAATTGATTCTTTTGTCCTTTGTAAAATTTCCTAGTTAGAATAACCTGCGATTAAACCTGTTTGTGTGTTGTTATTGTTGTTGTTTTGATATTGTAAATATTCCTAATAACAAAGTTGTTGTCCTATAATATAAAAATATTTTTGCCCATGTTACTGGGAACAGGTACAGAAAAACAACCAAGTATAAATATTGTTGTTGTTTGTTTTAAGGTTTTCTTCTTGGTAACTTGCCGGAAGAAAAGCAAAGTGTTATTTCCAAGGAGCATGTCTGTGCTGGTAAATATGTTTTCTTATCTTAAAAATGCTCAATGATTAGCAGTAGATCTCTACAGAAGTTGTTTTTTGTTCAAAGAAAAATAAAATAAGCAATTTTAAATATATTTAAAGACATGGATAAATCTATATAGTAATATTATAATTCATTTTTTTGTTCGCATTTACCAAAAAAATGTAAGGTTACATGCTGAAAGTTTTATTTGTATCAGACTATAATAACTTTACACCAGCTGCCAGTACAAACCAGAATTTTTGGCTCATTGGTAACTGTTTCAGAGGGTAACAAGGCTTTTCTGAGTATTTTCCAAACAGTTACCAAGAGCCAGATATTCTGGTCTGTAATGACAACAGGTGTTTTATTCTTTTTCTTGCATTTTACATATAAATCATATTCCTTAAAGAAATTACATGAACTGATACTTTTTAGCTCTAATGTTCAAAGAATAGGGGGAGCTATTGTACTCAGCCTGGTTTTGATGTCACACTTTGGTTAAGTTTTTGCATGCAAGTTGGTGTCTCCAATTGTACTGAAGGGAATGGGATGAAAATTTACAAACTATTTGAAATCATAAAAGGAGGATCACTGTCTATTACTCTAACATGGATTTTGACGGAACTATGGCCTTTATGAACTTAGAAATTTTTACATACTATCAAGCACAGAGAATATCTATTTCTTGAAGTAGTGTATAAGTTAACAACTTTATTTGTAATGGCAAAATGATGTCATTCTAAGCATGCAATTCATTCATAAAAGGTACCAAATTAATGACATTTGATTCCATTGGACTTTACGGTAATGGAAAAGTTTTTCTAGCATTGGTTTAAACACTAGATACAGTCATTGAAGTTAGCACTGGCCTGGTGGCCCATGGCCAGTAAAAATAAGTTCTAGCCAGTGAAAATTGAAAAAAAATTAAGTTAAATATAAAGTAGAATAAATTCAAAACTCGAATTCAGGCTAGTAAATTCAAAATCTTAAATTCATTGACTGCTGAGATATCCTGTCTGGTATACCAGAAAGACAATGTGTTAACACTTGAATACCAAATAGACAATGTGAAAACACTGGTATACTAGAAAGACAGTCAATGTGTAAACACTGGAATACCAGAAAGACAGTCAATGTGTTAACACTGGAATACCAAATAGACAATGTGTAAACACTGGTATACCAGAAAGACAGTCAATTTGTAAACACTGGAATACCAACTAGACAATGTGTAAACACTGGTATACCAGAAAAACAGTCAATTTGTAAACACTGGAATACCAAATAGACAATGTGTAAACACTGGTATACCAGAAAAACAGTCAATGTGTAAACACTGGAATACCAGAAAGACAGTCAATGTGTAAACACTGGTATACCAGAAAGACAGTCAATGTGTAAACACTGGTATACCAGAAAGACAGTCAATGTGTTAACACTGGTATATCAGAAAGACAGTCAATATGTAAACACTGGTATACCAGAAAAACAGACAATGTGTAAACACTGGTATACCAGAAAGACAGTCAATGTGTAAACACTGGTATACCAGAAAGACAGTCAATGTGTAAACACTGGTATACCAGAAAGACAGTCAATGTGTAAACACTGGTATACCAGAAAGACAGCCAATGTGTTAACACTGGTATATCAGAAAGACAGTCAATGTGTAAACACTCGTATACCAACTAGACAATGTGTAAACACTGGTATACCAGAAAGACAGTCAATGTGTAAACACTCGTATACCAACTAGACAATGTGTAAACACTGGTATACCAGAAAGACAGTCAATTTGTAAACACTGGAATACCAAATAGACAATGTGTAAACACTGGTATACCAGAAAAACAGTCAATGTGTAAACACTGGTATACCAGAAAGTCAGTCAATGTGTAAACACTGGTATACCAGAAAGACAGTCAATGTGTAAACACTGGTATATCAGAAAGACAGTCAATGTGTAAACACTGGAATACCAAATAGACAATGTGTAAACACTGGTATACCAGAAAGACAGTCAATGTTTAAACACTGGAATACCAAATAGACAATGTGTAAACACTGGTATATCAGAAAGACAGTCAATGTGTAAACACTGGAATACCAAATAGACAATGTGTAAACACTGGTATATCAGAAAGACAGTCAAAATGTAAACACTGGTATACCAGAAAGACAGTCAATGTGTAAACACTGGAATACCAAATAGACAATGTGTAAACACTGGTATATCAGAAAGACAGTCAATGAGTAAACACTGGAATACCAAATAGGCAATGTGTAAACACGGGAATACCAAATAAACAATGTGTAAACACTGGTATACCAGAAGGACAGTCAATGTGTAAACACTGGTATACCAGAAGGACAGTCAATGTGTAAACACTGGTATACCAGAAGGACAGTCAATGTGTAAACACTGGTATACCAGAAGGACAGTCAATGTGTAAACACTGGTATACCAGAAAGACAGTCAATGTTTAAACACTGGTATACCAGAAAGACAGTCAATGTGTAAACACTGGAATACCAAATAGACAATGTGTAAACACTGGTATACCAGAAAGACAGTCAATGTGTAAACACTGGAATACCAAATAGACAATGTGTAAACACTGGTATACCAGAAAGACAGTCAATGTTTAAACACTGGTATACCAGAAAGATAGTCAATGTGTAAACACTAGAAAATCCTATCTGGTATACCAGAAAGAGAATATGTCACTGATTTGAAGGATAAATCTGGTTTTTTTATTTCAGCATTGATATTACTGTTAAAAGATCCAACACCAGCTGTGAGATCTGCTGCTGCTGAAGCCATGAGTCTACTAGATAAATACTAATTACAGTCAAATATATGTACACTATGATATAGTTACTGTAGTGAGTATTACATGGTGTGTAACAACAATGACATATAGATAGTGTATAACAATACTATACTGCTTAAAGCAAATTTCTTCTTCTTTGATAAATTAAGACAAAATCATAGGAAATATAAACATGAATTTGATAAGGGACCATATAATTGTTTATGTCTTGTGTATAGAAGATGTTTCTTTAGTGTTATTTATTTTAAGTTTTGAATGACATTATAAACTCTTTATATATTAGTTGCTTTATAAGTAGAAATTATAAGTGCTATTGAGTGATATTTATATTTTATTGTTTATTGATAGCTGTTTAGGTAGTGTATTTACAGAATGTATGTAAAATGTAAGACATTATGATATAATTATATTAATATACATGTATACAACAAATTACAAAATTAATGTTATCATCATATTTTTGTTCCATATATTAGGAAAAGACAAGTTAATTAAATTACATGTAATACAGTTATTACTAAAACAAAATATTGTGATTTACAAAATGGTAAATAATAAGGTGTGAATGATTTATATTGTGACATGGTTTATAGATACAGAATAAATGAAATAGTTGAACAACTTGTGTAAGTTATTGTAGATGATTTATGACATTATAATATCATGTCTATCCTCTAGTCTGTGATTATAAAACAATGTTATTATTATAAAGTTTATTCATTATTTAAATATAAAATGTGTAAATCATCTGATACTGTTGTATTAAACTTTAAGTACATGTTGTATATGATTTTGTTGTTGAATATTTCTTGTTTCTTGGGCATGACTATGTGAATACAATTTTTAACATAAATTATCTTTACATCCTTAAGTCTTGTCTACAATTGCTACATTTTGAATATTTGACTGTAAAATATAGATGACTGGAAAAAATAATGGATGTCTTTATTTCGTTTGCATGTTCAGACTTTATATTTCATGTATAGAGAAGTTGTCTATATTTTTTCTGGTTTTTATTTTTGCTAATTTTGCATTCTAACTACATATCATTTAGTAATAAAATAAACAGAATATTTCTCTTTCATATTTATCTCTTGTGTGGAAGATGGATTCATCTTCCCAGTAATTTATAATATATATTTTATGTCAAGAACAATGTGTTAAACATGGTAATGATTCATCTATATCTATATGAATCTGGTAGGGTGAATGTACATAATTAAGATGTGTATGCATTTTTTAAGTTCTTTTTAGTGCTTTTCTGACAAAATTAATGGAAGTATAATAAACTTTGTTTGAATTTACAATAGGTATCTCAGATACTATTAAGTAACAGTACATAGAATAAAATTATATACAAAAACTGGAGAAGTTATTTCAGAGTTATTGTAGTATTGTGTGTCATGAATGAGTCAGCAAATCAGTTATATGTTTTATTATTATATGTTTTATGCAATGGACAGTTTTTATATATATAGATATTTCTATATCTTCATATGACTATACAAGTATATATGCAACACCCCCATTACTGATAATTTGGCAAAATGCTTAATATGTAACAATGATCAGTTATGTTTTATTTATGTGGCTTGTCAGAAACCAGCCAAAATCTGTGCAATAAACATATACACTATATGCTGCATTTGTTCTTTTGTTTCTTGTATTCAGTAATAACTAGTATGGATGACCAGGTGAGCACAGTATGGAATATGTACTTTACACAAACAGAACAGTACACCAGTGCACCAAAACTCTTCTTAGTACAATTTCCAGTGCCTATTGCAGTTCCCATAAACATAGGTTTTGGGATTATCCCCTTTTATGATATTGTCTGGAGTATAATTTCTTAACCATTGAAACTTCACACATTTATAAAGACTAGTGAGAGAAAGTGCAGTGTAAGTCATATGAGCCAACTTCAGATTACCTGCCAAGAAAGACAAGACTAAAGCAACCCTCAATTTTTGTTTTGTTTGTTTGTTTTGGGTTTTACGTCACATCAACACAGTATAGGTCATATCGCGACGTTCAGCTTTACTGGTGGAGGAAGACCTCAGGTGCCCTTCCGTGTCCTTACGGACGGGCACCTAAGTAAAACCACCGACGTACCGTAAGCTAGCTACCCTAAATAAAAAGGCAAAACAATAAAATTGATCTGTACTATATCATCTGCTGAATCTGACTATATACGCTGTAATGTATTTAATATTTCACAAGCTTAGGATGTTCTCATTATTAGTATTATACAAAATTGAAAAGAGAAACCGTTGTTTTGGCTAAAATGTCATTCCAAATTTTGCCTGTAAAACCTGCAAAGAATGCTTGTCGGTCGTGCGTACGGAAAATATGTGTCGGGTATCAGTTGTAGTTGCATAATCTTAACAGTCAGTCAAGCTCACCCAAAAGATATGACCGTTTATTTTTCTCCATGGTGCATATAATGGTCTCATTGGTCACACGTGCATCAAAATAGTGTCATCACAAAATCGAATTGCATACATATTTAGTATCATTCAGTGAATTAATACTGAATATAGGTCACCTTTTGGTTGATAGTAACATTTAAGGACATGAATGGTGACATGTCCGGGGTCCGTACTCTCAGTGCCTGAAAGGGCGGATGGACCCTCATTTAGCCTAAAACACATACATCCATAGTGCAGTGTAATATTAGACATTTGTGTATAAAACTATATATCTGATGCACAAATTATTGTTTGAATTTTTTTTAAAAAGTACATGTACTTCCAAAATGCTTGTATGAAATAAATATGGTTATTTATTGCCTTAAAAGGAATGGCACATGCACAAAATTATTGCTAAACTTAAAATAGCAAACTAATATTTTGTTCCGGAACATTTTATTCTGTTAACGTACATGATTCATGTGTATTTAATAACAGAGACCGTCTATGTTACAACCTTTTCGGGAATTAACTATATAATAATGGAACCAATAAAATTTTACTGTTGATAAATTTTATTTAAATATTTAAGATCTAGATTTATACACTTTAAGACGGTCACGGATATCGGACTTCAGTCAATGGAAAGTGATGGTCTCACAATAACGACGAAAATGAATTACAGTGGGTACTTATCGTATTATTTGATTATCAGTCGGCAATCATAATATCCATCCAATTTGTTTTTGTTTTTTTCGGCAGACAAGACTCGTGCATACCGTTACAACACGTGGTAGAACTTCCATACTATGGAACGCCGTGACTGTCTAATGTGATCATTGTTTTTGCTATCTTGTGAAATGATAATGTTATTTTGTCGTTTGTGCATGTTGACATGTGCAATTTACATCATGTCTTGTCAAAGGAACATGCTGACTTGATGTGCAAAGAACATGTTAACTTGTCAAAATTTCATGATGACTTGCAAACAACATGTTAATATGTCAAAGTATCGTGATCACGTGTGCAAACGACACGTTAACTTGCCAAAGTATCGTGATGCCATGTGCAAACGACATGTTAATTTTCCAAAATTTCACGATGACATGTGCAAACGGCACAATCACACGTTATCAATCTTCTATCATTAATTGTTATAATAGATCTTGCTGAAAAGTTTTCCGTGTTCTCACTGTTTCTTCTAGTGGTCAACGTCATTTATCTTGCTTATATATATTCAACTATTTTTGTCAGCTTTATTTCAAGAATGAACTTCATAAGCTTTTTATTCACCCTGTAAATTGTTTCTATTTTATAACTGAAGTATATTACTTCAAATTCTATGCAATTTATCGAAAATGCAAAACAGAATTTTCATTTAATTCCCATTAAATACACACACTTAAATTTTTTCTTCGTATTGAATAGGTAAACTATTTAACATCACTGATTTTTTTTATCCTTCTTCACTTAAATGTTATACTCCACTAAAATATTTTTAAATCCAAGAACTTAAGAAAGGAGTTTTGAGGCAGTTTGGAAAAAGAAATAAACGTCAATGGGAATGCATTGTGTTTATAACTAGAATGCGTTACACGGTTGCAGAAAGACAGATATTACCGATAAACCAAGGGTCATCAAAAGAAAGAATCTGATAGTTTGAATAATTTTTTATTTTGGATTTGAACAAACATCCAAGAAAATAGTGAACTTAAATATAAGGGATCTATAATGTGTATATCCATTCGGATAGTTTGCGGTTCGGATGTACAATTTCGTCATGCTACAAATTCGACTGTGTTTTATAATTTGAATACTTTATATGTAAATTTCACTAACTATTTACTTTAATTGTTTAATAGTAAAATAAATGTAAAGCCTCTTGTTTGTGTATATGTTTTTTAATAAAAAAATCATATAAAATCATTATCAAATCTCAATAAATGGTTTTATCTCAATTTCTGGCTAACTGGTGGATCCTGGATGCCCTTTGCTGCTAAATTTCATTCAACATGTTTCACATACATACGAGCTTAATACTATACTCTGGACTTAGGGCACACATAAAGAAGGATTATGTCCACTGCCATGTTTCTGTCCAACGGATCCTTCGTTAAACAGGGTTGGTATTCAACTTGGTAACACGTACACATTTCACAATCATTTTCACAAACTTTTCCATTTTCTTGGCCGCTAGGCCGCCATCTTCACACATCTAATAAAACATGACATCAAAAGGCAAAATTCACTAAATGCGACTCCAAACAAGGAGACCAAGACTCTCGATGTTGTTGTATAGATTCTTAAAGCAGCACGCCTCCAGATTCATTCTAATTTTCAAAAAAAAATTGAAATTGTATCTGAATGTTTAATATAGTGAAGTAACCAAAAAGAAGCAATTTACACATTTTCAATGCCACTTACAACCCACGTAAATTACCAAAAAAATGGTCAATATATGCATAATTAGCCCTTACTGCGTCAGAAACGCAGTAGAAATATAGTTGTAAATACTGAAAAATCAGTCATTAATCGCACAGAACATGTAAAATATTAATTGAATCTTGAATCTTTTTTACATTTCCTAAAATTAAAGTACATTTTCTCTAGTTTGATTTTATCGAAATATTTTGACTATCTGGAGGCATGTAGCTTTAGGACATATTAACAGATGTTTCCAGTCAACCAGTTTGACTGATTTTTTTCATGCAATGCCAAGATATGTTTGAGGAGAATAATTCATAATATTGTAAGGGACTGTGAATGTTTATCTCAGGAGTGAGGACCTTGTAATGAATATATCAGTTTAAAACAAACTATGTTTTATGACAATTTGAACATCAAACTGGCATAATTTATTGACAAATGAGGTAATACTGTTCAGTCACTTACCTTAAAGTTCTTAAAACTTACCTGCCAGGATTCCTGAACTTGCCTCAGCCATTCATATTTGCTGATTTTATTTGTTTAGATAATTTTCTGGTAAAGGAAGGAATTAAGACCATGATATAGGACATTCTGAGGCTCTAGGACTATATAAGACACTTTAAGGAGGTTTATACTTCAAGAAATGATTTATTCACTTACTTTGTTTATCCTGGCATCAAAATGGCCGACAAGAGTTGTCTACCTTGATTCAAAACTTTAAATGCTTATATTTTCATAAACATATACAAATACTTACCATTTTACATGTAAGAACAATGAATGTAATCTTTATTTACCTAAGACTTAAGTTAATTTCCAAATATTTAGCTGGCATTGCTGTATTTCATAATAATGTTGATGACCAGTATGACCTCTAAGTTTGTCAGGAGGGAAAATTCAAATTCCTGGCACTTGGAATCTTTTTATATCAATAGTTCATTTTTCTAAGCTATAACCATGATTGTTTTTGGTCCAGATATTAAGTGCATCAAGTTAAGCATGTAATTCAAGTGTTTATTGCATATTTTGTTATAAGTTAACTTTGTTAATTTACATTTTCTAAATTATTCCTGTCAATATGGCTGCCATTTTAAGAAATTCCTGTCTTTCCTGCCAGACTGCCAGGCCAAATGGAATGTTATGATTGGTCAATTGTGACAGTCCTGGCCATTTCAGAGTCTATATAAGTAGCCATGACAGGCTGTGTTCAGTTTGCATTTTGGCTTTAAATCCTGACAGTCGTGAAAACTAGTGACAAGAGCATTTTGTGGAACTTTTAACTGTTAAATATAGCAAATTTAGTGCTTTTCAGGGTTTAATAAAGAAATTGTGTAATTAAACTTTTTATCAATAAAAGTTGTTATTTGAACAGTTTTTGACTTAGCTTACAATATGTTGCTTTTTATTCACAGATCGCCATGTTCTTTAACTTTTCACCTAAACGACAAACATACCTTGAGGACTGTAGGGCAGCACACAAGAAAGCTCAGAGAACCAGCGAATGAAAAATAAGGGTAAAATTTGTAAATTTTTCTAGCATAAAAAGATTAAAGTCAAGCATAAAGTCGAGTCACAAAAGACAAAAGACTAGGTCTATAAGGTGAGCAGCAAAGGGCAACAGTGGCTCTCCTGTTGTATAAATAGAACACATTTCTTACTTTTATTGTTTCTTTTACCTCCCTGCTAAATATTTCAATTGTTTTATATTTTAATCTATAACATTCTTTTTTATTTTAATAAAATGTTAATTCCAGAAGTTATGTCGAACACGTTGGGTAGAGAGGCACGATGCACTATAGATCT